GCAAATCGGGAGGATTGGGTAGGTTACAGAATTACAACTGTCAGCTGTCTAGTTCTACAAGACTCGATAGGCGGGTGGGTTGGACGATCTACGAGGCAGAGCCCAGGATTACGCTTATCATGTGTCAAAGGAAGCAGATACGCCATTGGTCTTGGCAAGATCCTGCTATTTCTCTTGTCTTTTCAGGGTGACCCCTGCCGGCTTGGTGCCGCGTGCGTACCTGTGCTTCATTCATGACACAGGTCTTCGCCGGCGGCGGAGTACATGGGACAGCAGTAGGACCCATATCTATTTGATGTGCAATATTGCCAAACCGACTTCGACGACACCCACGAAAATGATTTGAGACACGCCGTACTCCTTTGTAAAGTGTTTACTTCGCGAAAGCCACACACGCCCCGCCCGGACTGTTCGTATCGATACATTGATTAACTCGTTGTCGTACCTCAGCCCCGTAGATCTGCTGAACGTTCACCGACCAAGTCATTTCAGTGTAGGTTTAGACTAGGCCAACATATTTTGAAGTTGGTTTTCATCGCGAGATAGGTGGATCCCAAAAACTTTACGAACGACCGCCTCTTGCGTTCTCTTTCTTCACTGGATACAAAGCACCATCGTGGAGCGTACGCCAAAGGCGACAGTGGAGGGAGTACCACTAAGGTAGAAGGTCTGGGGTACACGTTGTCACGGCAGTATCTACAACCTGATGGAGCTGCACCCTGTGCGGATGGCTTGGCCTGGGGTTTTAACGGGGAGGGGTTCGATAACGGGAACTTTGTCACCCATACCGACGAGAATCCTGTCAAGGTTGGCGGAAAACCACCTACCGTGAATCTACCACAAGACGACCGAGATACCGGGACCGACGTTGGTCTTGTGTCGGTGGCTACCGCGGGCACCATCAGGTACCCATTTTTTCGTATACTTGCATCACCGCCGTGCCAAAATGTGCACAGTGGTGCAGTCCATGGCAAATTCATCCCACAGAGTGCAAGACGAACTTGCTACCGTGTTTTCTATAGATGGATACAGTAGACTACTTGTGTACGGTAATTACTCGACAGTAATAGTTTTTGCGGTTGCTGTATCTTGGCGTTCGCGCATTTATGAACTTGATATGACAAGCCACCATTAACCTATGGGCGCATCGATCAGGTGTGACGCAGTTAGCAGCAGCCCCAGTTCACTGGCATCCCTTGCGCCAAGTCTGGCGTTGGTCACTTCAAAACACGAGACGTCGGAGGGGACAAAGGGAGAGGGAAACGGAGAGGACAAGGGGAGAAAAGCACCACCGACGTTCTCTAGTATTGACGAGTGGCTCAAGGAGGATCAAAAGGTACAAGTATTACCAGTAGCAATGTGGGTAAAATGTCCTCCACGGCTAGGACCGCGGCACGCATTATATAGCATCTATCTGTGGGAATCCATCGAAATCCACCAAATGATCGTGTTTGGTTCCGAAACCAAAGCCTCTCTGATATATATGATTTTTTCTACTGCATTGTTGTTCTTAATTATGTCGCCACTTACAGCAGATCCCCTTCCGAACAGCAACACAGGGCTCCACCTAACAAAGCCGTCACGATAAGCCAGTTTTTGTGAAGTACTTACCATTCTTTTCGACGCACGCGATTGGCAACACTGCTGCTCAGCCCAGTTTAGTCAAATACTCAATGGTGTATGTATTCCGTGATAATCGAAGATTTCCTGTTTCTTTGAGTACTGGGATTGTGGTGTATCCACATTTGGAGGTGTGCTAAAAGCACGTTCATGTATTGGTCAGCCCCACAAGACAAACCCTCGTGGCACTGTCTCGTCATATCAACCAGTGAGAGTGAAAGGGTTCCTGGTCATTCAGACTGCAATCCACATGAAGATGCCGCAATCACGAACATCCTGCGGGACTTCCCCAACCCCTTTGCGATGGTGTTGCAAAGGGTATGCAGCCAACCTATGGTTGCATTTTTCTACCAAGCATACCGAAGAACGCCGACGAGCGGATCGATGTAGAGGATGTCTCGTTGTCCCAATGAACCGAAGGATCGTGGCCTTGTCTATTTGGACTTCCCAATGCTCCTCTATCATCCGATCCTACCACTTGAACGTTAACACCACGACAGCAGCCGCAGTATACCTAGCCAAGTGCAACACATCCTCACTATTTTCGTGTCAACACCTTTCCCTTCGAACCTAACCCACTTTATGAAGGGCAAGTCATCGACAACCAGCGATCAGAACCATTACAACTCGACGTCGGGATGTTACGCTGCTGGTGGTTACGACACTGATAATCGACGACTACAGGACGCAAACCACAACAGCGACGCTATCGGCGACGACGGCGACCAAAAGAAGAACCTTCCATCACCTCTACTCCCGGAGTCGATGTCGCTTGCGCCCTACGCGGAGGATAAGAGCAGCGCGGGGGGGCTGAAAGGGCTAAGCCCCGGCCCTGGTCAAGACACCTACGCAGCAAAGTTCCGCTCCCCCTATCCGAGCTCGCAGCAACCATCGACTGTGGCGGAACAATCGATTTTGTCGGCCTTCGACGCGACGTCTCCGGTTTGTAGTAGGACCTGGGGGAACGGGTTGTTCGCGTCCCCCGGCGCCGCTTCGGTTCAGACGGCGCCGTCGCTGTGCTTGAATGACGAGGTAGAGGAGACATACTCAAAGCGAATCGGTGCTTGGGAGGAGGAGGAGGAGGAGGAGGAGGAGGAGGAGGACGTTCAAATGATAAGGGGTAAGGATGATGGAGTTCACGAGGAGACCACGGAGGACGAGTCGGACAAGATGAAAGTGGCAGAGGAAGAGGATGATGAGAAGGGCACGTCGAGAGGAGAAACATGGGGGGAAACGCATGAGGAGGCTAGGGCAGAGGAAAAGGACCCAAAGAGAAGGCGACACGAAGAGCTTAGCTTCCCCGATGGGGGAAGCAGAGGAGCTGTTTTTGCTGTTGCTGCTGCTTCTCCAGAGAAAAATAGTGTGGGAGACTTTCCTATTTCAGGGCAAGCACGAGGGTCCGTCACGAGGTATGAGGGGAAACTGGGTGCATCCAACAAACCAACAAATCAAAGGTCCGCTGGATGCAATCCGACCGGAGGGTGGAGCAGCAAATATGTCGCCCCTCCTAAGAGTTGCAAGACCTGAACTTTATCCCTGATTGCGAATCACGCTGAAATTCTATATGCCGCTTGATGGGATACAACATGAAATGTCCAGCAAGTTACGAGTGTACGCTAGAGCATGATCATTGCGCATACGCCAGGTTGGGTAGTCATATTCGCGATGGTTCGAAAGGACCCTTTCGGTTGCGGCGTGCTACCAAGACGACCATGGTATCCGCCCCCCCCCCCCC